CCCCCTCCCCGCCTGTACCTTCTGTGCCGCCCTCAGGTATGTATATATGACTGTTGTAAGAATAAAGCTCTCTCGCATGTGTCTCTGTCTTGGCCTTCTTCCTCACGCTCTCCCTAGGGCTCTACCCCCTTGCCTTGCTGGTCAAGGCCCCCCACAGGATCAGACTCAGACTACAGTGGTGACAGCCCTGAGACTTAACCCCTAGGCCACCAGGGAGGTCAAGTTCCCTTTTTTTTTTTAACCCCTACTTAAAATTTGGCTTTCTGGTAACAGAGGCCTGTGATTGTCTTCTGCTCATCTTCCTGATGAAGAATAACTGTCGTAACCATGGTGCTCCCTACTAATAAATGCTGAAAAACGGGCCATTGCACCCCTCCCTTGGCTAGTTTGCCCCATCTGGCTGTACAGGTGGAGTACATTTGCATACATTTCCTTTGCAAATTAAAAAGAAACACACATTCACATCCCAGGACAGTGCAATAACAGACTTTTAGGAAATATAATTTCCCCCCAAGATGACCAGTCTATGTTTCCAGAGAACTTCCCACTTCATTATGGGTGACGACACTTGCAAACTGTCAACTGTCTTTATGAACTTCCATTTTTGTGCTTTTGAATTTATTTAGTTCTTTCTTTATTCCCACCTTGACTTCAGGTATCAGCCTGCCCTAGATAGTATCTTCTTTGTTTAATTGAGATATATTTGTTTACAACTTTGGATGGGTCCCAGGATTACATTTTCTTGCTATCTCTGCCACCAAATATCCATTCATCATCCTCCACCACCAACCAATCAGCATCTTCTACCCCTCCCTGTTTCTGCCTCTCTGGTAACCACCATTCCTTTGTAAGAGTCAAAAGAGATTTTATTTTCTTTGCATTCCATAAATTAATGAAGTAATGCAGCATTTATCTTTTTCCTACTGATTTATTTCACTTCATGTAATTCCCTCACTGTTGGTACAGTGGGCAAGGGTTGTTTTTTCTCCACATACTGTCAACATTTATTATTTCTTGACTTTTAGATAAAAGCCATTCAAACAAGCGTGAGTTAAATCTCATTGTGATTTTGAATTTCATTTCCTTAATGATAAGTGATGAAGAACATCCTTCCATGTAACTGTCAGCCATCTGTATATCTTCTTTGGGGAAATGCCTATTTAAATCTTCTGCCCATTTCTTAATTGAATTATATATTTTTTTGTTGTTGTGTTGTACAAGTTGTATATATATTTTGGGTATTAACCCTTTGTCTGACATATGGTTCACGAATATCTCCCATTCAATAGGATTTTAGTTCAGATGGTTATTCCTCTGTATGGAGCTTCTAATTTTGATGTAGTTTCATTTGTTTATATTTTCTTTTGTTTCTCTTGCAGTTTCAGATGAATCCACAAAAACATTACTGAGACCAATGTCAAAGAGCTTTTTACCTCTGTTCTATGTATTTTATGGTTTCAAGTCTTAACTGAAGTCATCAATTAATTTTGAGTTGATTTTAGTATATAATGTAAGATTG